ATATGGGCCTCTTATTTTAACCCTTGTTTCAATTATATTTTAGAGTTGGACGTTTCTCTCTCTCTCTCTCTCTCTCTCTCTTTTAGATTCTTCCAAATAAATGTTTGTCTAAAATAATTATCCGAATGAATTCCTGTTAGTCGAATATTTTATTCGAATAACTCATTATTTTCGTTATAAATTATTCTATATATTTATTCGAATAATTCTCTATTTGAATGACTCTTTATTCGAATGATTCTTTATTCGAACAGTTCTCTATTCGAATGATTCTTTATTCGAATAATTCTTTGTTCAAATGATTCTTTATTCGAATGATTCTTTATTCAAATAATTCTTTATTCGAATGATTCTTTATTCGAATAATTCGAAGTATTCTTTATTCGAATGATTCTTCATTCGAATAGTTCTCTATTCAAATGATTCTTTATTCGAATGATTCTTTATTCAAATAATTCTTTATTCGAATAGTTCTTTATTCGAATGATTCTTTATTCGAATAAAAAATTTGAATGATTCTTTATTCGAATAATTCGAAATATTCTTTATTCGAATAATTCGAATGATTCTTTATTCAAATAATTCTTTATCCGAACGATTCTCCATCCGAATAATTTTGTATTCGAATAATTCGAAATACTCTTTACTCGAATAACTCGAAAGAAAGAAAGAACTCACGGAAGAAATAAATCGATGAACTATGAAAAAACACTTTATATACAAATTTTCTTATTCAAATCAATTATTCTCCGTATGAATTCCTGCACGAGTGAATTCCTTTCCGAATAAAATCTTACCACACAAAATCCTATTAAAGCGCAGAGGAAGTGTCGAAATAGCCTTCGCAAAATCTGAAGCCATTCGGAGAACGCTTTCAAAAGTTGCAATTGCAACACCTCGGAACATCGAGAGTATTAAGCAGCACGATGCTTAAACGGCATCCGGCGCGAGTTTTTAAAAGTTGATGCTGCAATCGCTGCAAAAGATGCAATCGCAGAAACGGCGGATATAAAACTCGAGGCAAATCGAATACTATTTTCGGAATTTATTGACCGTTCGTTGCACCGACGCACCGAAACGGGGTCACGGAAGTGCACCGACTTTATTTATTTAATATTAATAACGTCGTTAGCTCCGGTCGCGCTTTTGAAACATCCCGTCGTACATCAGCTAGCGCGGTTATTTTCGGCTCGACGGAATTTAGTGCATCTCGTCTCCGTTTCACTTGCCACGTTTTCCGTATAGTCGCGCGACTTTTTAATCTCGCGCCGCGATTTCCGCTCGCGTATGTTCGATTGCAGTTGGTATCCGGACATTTTGGTGGCCGCGCGAATTTATACGCGGCGCGTTATAAATATAACCGTGCTTTTCGATTTTCGCGGTCCGTATGGCCGCGGAAACAGCGATTTTCGAACAACAGGCTCTTTCTTCTTACTCGTTATTTCAACTTGTATTTAAAGGTAATTAAAATGTTATATTCGTATGAAACACAGAGCCCCCCTCCCAAAAAAACGGGATTATTTTCGTTCGCATTCGCGTGCATTCATCGGCAGCCGGGCACGCGAGAATTCGTGACTCGTTAAAAACGAACGAAATATGCTGAATTTGTTTTGGCCGGGCCACGGTAACTTTTATTTCATTTAGCCGCGAACGAGATGACACGATTTCACGCTATCTAATCGATAAATAAATGAACGCAAAAAAAAAGAACAGAACAAAATAGCTTTTCGCAGTTTAACGATGTCTCTGTGCGAGAAAGTTCATGTGAAATATGTCATCGATCGTCTTCTCGAAGATAATTCGTGAAAAATTATTTATAAACAGACTATGCATTTTATGCGTTTATAGAGAACTTGAGCGTGCACAATTTGAAACAATAAATACATCGAAGGAAATTAACAGTCCCAAGATATTGGTTTTAGCGAATTAAAATGATCGAATAAAGCGATCGCTTTTTATTCGGTTGTCGAGTTCTTGCGATCGATTCAGAAAATTGTTATTTCGCGTGATAACGATACTTGCGAGGATTTGTTAATAAATGAAACTCTCGGTACGGTCGAAATTAAATGAAATTAATGATACACGAGAAATTGGTGTTGCTTTAGACTCGCAATATGAAAATGAAGCAGAGAGCTATAGTGATTTTAGCTGTCGTTTATCGACAGGCTTTATTTAACATTAGATTTACTCGTCAAAATGACGGGTCGCTAATTTTTTAATTTACGATTATTATAATAATTATTATATAATTAATATTATAATTATTTTTGTTATTATAAAAGTGATATATAAAAAATATAATATATAATATATGAAAATAAATAAATATAAATATTAATAGTATTATTATTATTATTATTATTATTATTATTATTATTATTACTATTGATATTGATATTTATTTATATATATATATATATATATATATATATATTATTATTATTATTATTACTATTAATATTTATATTTATTTATTTTTATATATTATATATTATATATTTTATATATTACTTTTATAATATATAATAAAAATAATAATAATAATTATTATTATTATTATACTAATTATTATTATAATTACTATTATAATTTACGATTATTAAATTCATATGTTACTTACGGCAAATGTTACAAGAACACTTGTTAAAAATCGGAATAAATATCTTACCGTTACTTTTACAAACTAACGTGAAACAGCTGTTTTTTGTGCTCCGCAAATCTAATGTTAATTCGTATTTCTTTCGATAGTTCCATCGATTCCATGTTATCCGAAGGAATACCATCCGCTATTTAGAAACAGAGGAGGGGGGGGGGGTGAGTTCTCGGTTTGAGGAACGCAATCATTAGCGTTTTAGTAACGAGCGTTCAAATAGTTCCGCAGGCCATTATACGTACGGATAAATTATGGGTACACAGACATTCCGCGAGGCTCTACAGGTAATCCTCGAACAACAACGTTAATTGATCCCGAGGATACTTTACAATTCGCTCTAATTATCCGCGCAAAATTCTAGTTGATAATAATCTCCACTTGAATCGCCGAGGAGTTTAAAAATCGTGGAAAAAAAACAAATACATCGAGCACCCTTGTACCCGATACGACGAGAATTGGCAGGAAATGTAAATAGAACTGTACGCGAGCGGAACGATCGGGCCCGGACCGAAAAAGTAATTCAATATTAACGTGATATCGTTAATTAAATATTATCGACGTTATCATTAACATACAATAAGGTAAATAGCGAGAGAGGTGAACGAAAGCAGAAATCTATTCGTTACAAATGCGTACAGAATTTATTATTCCGACTCTGTCGTTTTCTCTGTTCGAGAACGGAACAGAATTTAAAGTTAATTATAAACGATTCGGTTGACGTAACAAAATTCCGATCGGATTGCAAAAACCTGCGTTCAATAACTCGAGCAAACGCGTACAACACGTTTCCGCCGGTCTTTCCAATCGTAACACGTAACGTGTGTTCCGACGACTAGAGAAATAATTTCTTTGCAACCGCGATATTAATTGATATTAAATATTGTTCACGCAGAAATAATCCGCGAATCTGAACGTTGTATTATTCGCTGCGCTGTGACGATTAATTAGCGACCGAATCGACGCGATCGGATTTAGTTCGCAGTGCTTAGGGAGACAGTCCTCCCCCCACCCTGTAATTCAAGGATTTTTTTTCGACTGCATCGGTCAAAGATCTCCCACAATTCCCCGTGTCCAAACCGTGTTCAGTTCGAAAACGGTAACCGCTTAGACTTGAAGACATAATCTCTGGCTGGCACGAGGTCAACGATTGTTGTCCCCTGATCGCGAAAAAACGCGACCCCGGACGAGAGCTCGCGGGCTCTCGGCCACATCGGTATATCTCGTTCGAGCCACTCGATCGACTTTCGCGTTCAATTGGCCGTTGTAAAGTTGTTGACTCGGCTCAAAGCGGCAGCCGAGGCGAAAACGCCCGGCTACGGACGCAAACGGTTTCGCCGTGAAATTAGTAGTATACTTACTTCCGGGTGATGTTTAAGCTCTTGCGGTCCCGAAGCTCGGAATCCGCGGAAGAGGATCCGAAATTCTGATTCTCCCCCTTCTCTCTCGCGCGCGCTCTCTCTCGCGAGCTTTCTCTCTTGCGCTTTCTCTCTCTCTCTCTCTCTCGCAAGCTTTTTCTCTCGCGCGCTGTCTCTCCTGCGAGCTTTTTCTCTCGCGCGCACTCTCTCTCTCTCTCGCGAGCTTTTTCTCTCGCGCGCTCTCTCTCTCGCGAGCTTTTTCTCTCTCGCGCTGTCTCTCCTGCGAGCTTTTTCTCTCGCGCGCACTCTCTCTCTCTCTCGCGAGCTTTTTCTCTCGCGCGCTCTCTCTCTCGCGAGCTTTTTCTCTCTCGCGCTGTCTCTCCTGCGAGCTTTTTCTCTCGCGCGCACTCTCTCTCTCCTGCGAGCTTTTTCTCTCGCGCGCACTCTCTCTCTCTCGAGCTTTTTCTCTCGCGCGCACTCTCTCTCTCTATCTCTCTCTCGAGCTTTTTCTCTCTCGCGCGCTCTCACTCTCTCTCGCGAGCTTTTTCTCTCTCGCGAGCTTTTTCTCTCTCGCGCTTTTTCTCTCGCGAGCTTTCTCTCTCTCGCGCTTTTTCTCTCGCGCGCTTTCTCTCTCTCGTGTGCTTTTTCTCTCTTGCGCTCTCTTTCGCGCGCTGTCTTTCTCTCTCTCTCTCTCTCTCTCTCTCTCTCTCCCCCGCGAGTGCCGTCGCTCTCTCAACCAAGCCTCTCGAGCCGCTCTTCCGCAATACCGCCCGCACGCCGGTGTCGTTGCCGGCTTTGTTCCCGTTCTCTCCTTGTGTAGACCTGTGTTTTGCATTTCAGGGACGACTGTTGGGAAAAGCGGACGCGTATTTTAGTTCCTTTCGGCGCTGCAACTATCCGCGAATAAGGGCGCCGAACACCGCACCCGAAATTGTTTACGAGTGCGCCAGGTACTCCAGGTACGTATATACACTTTTCGGAATATACGCTCTCTGCAACAATACCGTTATAAGACACCATGTAAAACCGTGCAGATCTGCGCTGCGTTAGAAGAGAACTTCTCCCTTTTATGTACTATATACATAAATGTGTTGTAGTTTACTTGTATCTCTCTCTCTTTTGTTCTACGACGCAGTGTCAGATTTGTTACGAAGATTCGGAACGTTAATTGTAGTACCACCATGCTGACGAGAGTGTCTCGTTAATCCGTTGTATTGTTATTACTTTCGCAGCTCGGTCGATCAACATGTGTTTTTCATTAATACGTTCCTATGCGAGACGGAGAATCTTTATTGATTAAAATTTAACCTTAAAATTAATTTGATTATTGATATTAATATTAATTTTATTGTTATTAATATTAATATTAATTTTATTGTTATTATTAATATTAATATTAATTTTATTGTTATTACTAATATTAATACTAATAACTAATATTAATATTAATACTAATTTTATTGTTAGTGCTAATATTAATATTAATACTAATTTTATTGTTATTACTAATATTAATATTAATACTAATTTTATTGTTATTATTAATATTAATACTAATTTTATTATTACTATTAATATTAATATCAATGTTATTGTTATTACTAATATTAATATTAATTTTAAAATGACTCGTGTTGCTCACACAGCGTTACTCAGTCACTCATACACATTCACCAGTTTCTTGGACATAAACAAATCTGATAAAACGTTAAAAAATGATCATAAAACGCGATACGGCAATTATCAACGATGCCGCGCGGACTTTCGGTGTTTGTTTGGATGCAAATCGTTGAATTATTTCGCATCCCGTGAAACTGCCGCGCCGCCGGCGACTACAACGGAACAAGTAATAATCAGAACGTTGGTAGCGGGCGCTGTCAGTCGAGACGACGAGGGTTAGCACCGGGAACAAAGGGCGAAACGAGCTTAAACACCGGGAACCGAGTTCCGGTCCGTGGTGGTCCGCGAGGAAATCGCGCGCGAGAGAGTTCCGTACGTATCGGCTTTTAAATTCGATTCTCCGGCTTATCCGCGAAGCGGTCGGCGTTTATGGGAATTTCGAGCGCGTCCGAGGAACGGAACCGTGCACCATCCGACAGGCGTTCGCCGGTCCCAACGTTTCGAACGAACTGTGATAATTCGATAACGCCATATGCATTCGAGGAAAGTGAGTTTCGTTCTTTGTTTGTCGCGCTATTTCCGGCGCCGCGTCGAGCCGCGTCGCGCCGGCGTTGTTTGCCGTGGTAACTGCAATAATAATAATAATAATAATAATAATATTGTATTAACTCGGCGTGATGGCCGAGCGAAGTAATTAACAGGAAAGGACGGTGCACGCGGCAACGTGTACGCATAACACGGGCAAACATAAAAGGAAATTCGAATGGAGGAAAATAAGGAATAAAGCGATTCGATCGCGCGTTTAGAATTTCGAGCGAGTTGCGACACGCTGTTTGCTTAACCCTTTGCCGTATCATTTTCGTCGCGGACAGGGTGATTGGAACGAAGGAGTTTCGAAGGCGATACTGATCGTTTCTTCGAAGAAAAAAGAAACAGGTACATTTACGGCGGAACCTCGATTAACCGAACTGGTTTCTCCGCCATCTTTATTATCTAGATTTATAATCATTCCATTCAAATAGATGGCGGAATTTTGTGCAAAATAAAAATTGTCTGCATTAGTTGCAAGAAATCGAAGCTAAATAGAAAATTAATTCTTCAAAATTATGATTGATGATTGCATTTATAATTATGATTGATAATTGCATTTATTATTATAATTATAGTTAATAATTACATTTGTAATTACGATTGATAATTACATTTCTAACCATGATTGATAATTACATTTATAATTATAATTAATAATTACATTTATAATTATAATCAACTATAATTCATTCGAAATAAGACATCGACATTTTAAAATTCCTTCAATCTCTCGTCGATTTGAAATCCCAACCACCCAATATTATCGTAAATGCATGAAATCCGTGCTCATAATAAAATATAAATATCGCGAAGTTTACGAAAGATAAATAGAAACTGCTCCGTAATCCGATATTCTAACAAGATTAAAATAAAAGTTCGTTCGGCGTACACCGGCTCCGAGGTCGCGGTAAGTCGTTTTGAATGAACGGAGCAGGATGAACGATCGCCGATCGAATGAAATTTTTAAGTATTTTACGAGATAACCGTGCGATATAGGAGTAACCATCCAGGTTACAGAAGTTTCGACGCGTTATGGGAGTTCTGATGGAAGAATAATGTCGTTCGCATGCGATCGACGCGAACCCGTTCAACAAGGGCGGAAGATAAAGATGTTAATGTCCATGGTGTAACGACACCATAGATCGAGGGGGCTCGCGGGAACTTTCAGACGACATCGGAGATACGCGTACGTAACGGTACAACTTCTCTCCCACCCCCCCTCCCCCTCGATCGCTTTCAGACGAGTGCAGGAGCGTGCCTCGCATCGCCTCGAGACCGCTGCTATCAAATTTGTAGTCATCGCGATAAGCGCGAGCCTGCAAACTTCCTGTATCCGGGGTATGCACGTCGCTCAGGCACCCCCGCACCCCTAAAGTTCACCCTGGACGAGCGTCGCGTCTCGCCAACCGCTGACACCGACGCACGGTGGCCGGTTTCCATAACAAAGAGCGCGGCAAGTCAATTTTTAAAAATATCCCCATAGCGCATAGTTCATTCGCTAGTAGTCGATTGAACGCTTGGCTTGTTGTTTACTATGATTTTTTAATGATTCATTAATTTTGGACAGGGCTACGTGGCTTCAAAATAGCCCATCCCTCAAATCATACTAAATTTACATCGTTGTTTATAATTGTTCTGTTCTCTGAAAATAGATAATTTTTGCAGAATTTAACGTACTTAGTGTGCACTTAAATTATGCCGCAAGACACAATTCTTATCTTTCACACATTTTTTGAGTTATGTCCGATTGAATTCGTTGAATTTACATTTCGCACAAGTAAAAATTATCTTCGACAAATTCCCGAACAAATAGTCATTTAGACATTCTTTTCTCTCTTTATTAAACTCGGTGAATTGAGAATAAATAACGCATGCACCCTCTGAAAATGTCTCGCAATCCGAAAGTGGCGTGTTCCTCGGGTCATTCAAAGCAACTTTTTCCTTTGCAAAAATTTTCTCCGAGGCACCGTTAACGAGTTATCAACGAAAAACAGTGACCAATGAGAGGCGAGCTCGGCTGGCGCGAGGCGACCGAGCCAGTGAGCGGAACTGGGCTTTGCGCGCTGGTTGACTGGGCCGCCTCGCGTCAGTCGTACTCGATTCTTATTGGTCACTGTTTTTCGTTAATAACTCGTTAACGGTGCCTCGGAGAACATTTTTGTAAAGGAA